GCATGGACTTGTTGTCTAAATAAAGGATTTATACCTGGATTATTGAGAATGGACTTGTCTAAATTAAGGATTCAAACCTGGATTATTGAGCATGGACTTGTCTAAATAAAGGTTGAATGAATGAAAGAAAAAAACAACACTGCAGTTCCAGGGATGGCCGTAGGAGGCGCTGCGGGGTAAATTTGAATACACGAAGAAGAATTCCCTGTGCGCTGATTGGCTGAGCCCAGGGGCGGCGCTGGAGCAGAGGAAGATGTTAGCGGTGACCAGAGGATCCTTCAGAGTTTTCAGACTTCTGGTGAGAAACTAACTCTTTATGCTACTGAGCAGAACCTGAATACGAAGCTGTCCGCGCGCTGCTGCCGCGCGCCTGCAGCTCACGCTGAACGTGACGTCACCTCCGCTCAGCCTGCTAACCGACGCTAACAGGCTAACTGGAGTGGTGCTGCTGGTGTTTAGTGGTTCTGGTGGATCGGGTCTCGGTTCTACCTCAGCAGACGGATCCAGGATCAAGCTCTGGAAACACAGGGACCCTCATGGGTCACTTGACCAGCCATCTGATCACTGACAGGTGAATGATTGACAGCTGGTCACCGTGGCAGCTGTCAGAGAGCGACAGGTTCGGTTCTGTTGGTTCTGAATGAATAAATGAGAACCGGGACTCTGAGGCTGGTTCTGATCCAGTAGAAAACCTGCTGGAACTCAGAGCACAGGAACGGTTTCTGCTGGTTCTGAAACCTGCGGGTCCAAATGAGTCTGATGGTCCTTCTCAAACACCAGAACCATATCAGGCCCACTTCAGTAGTTCTGTAAAATCTAAATGAAAGACCGAATTTAATTTATTTCTGTGTCTCAAAGAAAAGGTCCAAACTAACTTCAGATCCAACAGCCTCAGGTGGAGCCACCAGGTGTTGGAGCCACTGGTTCCTCATGGTCCACTTGGTTTGGACCCGCTTGGTTTGGACCTGCTTGGTTTGGACCTGCTTGGTTTGGACCCAGTTGGTTTGGACCCGCTTGGTTTGGACCCGCTTGGTTTGGACCCACTTGGTTTGGACCCACTAGTTTTTGGACCCAGGTTACCTTTGATGTTAACTTTTTGATCTGACACTTTTAAACGGATCAAAAACAAGATAAGTCCGTGAGGGGACTAAAACTTTCTCACAGCACGGGTACCACCTGGTGTGCTGAGCCCGCTCGGACCTTCAGGTGACCTCTAACCTCAGTTCTCTTCCTGCCAGCTGAGTCAGCAGTACCGGCGCCGATGTCTCCGGCCGCAGAACTTCAGACCCAGCAGAACCCTGCAGGACTTCAGATGGGACAGGAGCCTGCAGATGTTGAGCAGCAGGATGCTTCACACAACCACTGGTAAGTGGACCTGCAGAACCAGAACCAGTCAGTAGCTTTCAGCTTTGAAAAAGGGTGTCTGAATCGGGTCCTGGGTCAGGTCCTGGGTCAGGTCCTGGGTCAGGTCCTCAGTGATGTCATCCGTCCCACAGAGCCCGTTTCCTTCAGCTGATGAGACATGTTGTGTTGGTTGACTCGACATGATGTCCACAGGTTGATGATGTCACTGATGATGTCATTGTTGTCTCCGCAGCACAGCGAGGACCCATAGTCCAGTTCAAACTGTCCGACATCGGAGAGGGGATCATGGAGGTGACGGTGAAGGAGTGGTACGTCCACACACACATAACTCCGCCCACCAGTCCTCGGGTGGTCTCGCTGCAAACACGTCCTCCTACATAATTCTGGAATCTGATTTCGTCTCACCTGTCTCAGGTATGTGAAGGAGGGGGACAAAGTGTCCCAGTTTGACAGCATCTGTGAGGTCCAGAGCGACAAGGCCTCGGTCACTATAACCAGCCGCTACGACGGCGTCATCAAGAAGCTCTACTACGACGTGGACGCCATTGCGCTCGTCGGCAAACCACTGGTCGATATCGAGACGGAGTCCGGCTCAGGTGAGGCACACCCACCTGGCTTCTCTGCAGGACTGGGTCTTCTGTCTTGTGATGCCTGTATGCTGTCCCCCAGAGCTAATCCAGGAGGAGGATGTGGTGGAGACACCAGCCATGGCCCGGGAGGAGCACACCCACCAGGAGATCAAAGGTCACAAGACACAGGCCACGCCCGCCGTCAGGCGGCTCGCCATGGAGAACAACGTCAGTCTGTCCACAGTTTGTCCCGTCTGTCCTCAATCTGTCTCCACTTTATCTCCAATCTGTTCCCAGTCTGTCATGTCCCTCCTGTGTGTCTCATGTCCCTCCTGTGTGTCTCATGTC